CCATGGCATCACGCTCACAGCAACCTCCAACTCCTGGGCTCAAGCGAGTCTCCTGCCTCAGCCTCCCAAGTAGCTGGGACTACAGGCGTCCGCCACAAGGCCTGGCCATCTTTTGGTGGCAGCCATCATTGTTGTTTGGCGGGCCCAGCCTGGGGATTCAAACCTGCCACCTTAGGTGTATGTGGCTGGCGCCTTAGCCGCTTGAGCCACAGGCGCCAAGCCCATCCTAGGGTTCTAAACCTTGCTCTCCACAGGGACAGTTCTGCCTACTTTCCTTTCATCCGCGAACCTTTTGGGGAGTTTTGTTATGAAACCTCTGCACTCGTTCTTCCCCAGGTCTAGAATTGCTTTTCTCTTCCCCTCGGCCAATTACTGTTTGATCCTTCACAAACCCAGCTCTAATACCATCATCTGCGACAAGCGGGCCTCTTCCCTCCAGTCTCTTCCTCGTCTCTACGTTCTCATTTCGCTATCAATATTGGGCATACCTTGTGTCTCTGTCTACTAAGAATCTGGGTGTGAGAGGTCTTTATGGCCCTAGTGTGGAGCTCGGCCTGTTCTAGACGCCGCGTTGGTGAACAGATGCCACTTTGGCATTTGGTCTGGGAGCTGTGGGGTTAAGGAACACTGGCCTTGGAGGCCCCGCCTTCGGAGCGCGCCACCAGGTATGGGGGAGGCCTCCCCGGAGGCTCCCACCTTTTCCCCTGCTAATTACCCCTCACAGCAATAGGAACCACGACTTATGTAAAAGATATGGTGAGACCCCAGCGGTAGAGATCCTGAGGCACCTTTCTTGGATGTCTAGCGTCCAGTTCTTCCCCCGGGAATGCTCTTGGTACAATCCGGGGATTCCCCAGCACAACTTGCCCTCCGAAGTCGCGGAGTCCTCCCTTGGTCGAGGCTCCGCCCCTGCCCCGGCCGGGCCTTTGGGGAGAGCAGATGAACCCCTGGAGGGAGGGAGAGAGTGGCCATGGCCAGGCCAGCTGCTCCCGGTACCCCTGTTGCCGGCTGGAAAGTCCACATTGTGCGGCAGCTGCGGCAGCGGGATCGCACGCAAAAGGCACTCTTCCTGGATCTGGTGCCAGCCTGTGAGTACGCTCTTAGGGGGCGTGGAATTAGGAGAGGGAGCTCAGGGCACGGGGAGAGGGTTTGTCTGACTCTGACTATCACCCAAGTGTGCCAGCGCCTTCCCTCTTCCTACGCTATGTGCCTTGTGCCTTGAATCTGTTACACCCCACTCCCAACTGGCCAGGATTCCTGTCCCTTCCAATCTCGGCTCTGCTTCGACTTAGAGCTCTTTCCGGGTCTGAGCCCCCTCCTGGTACCCCTGCCCTCCGCGCCACTCATGGCCCAGTTCTGCGTCCCACTAGCTGGGTTTCCAAGATACTGATTCAGCCCTGAGTGTTGGTTTTCCACTGTCATCCCTGGATGCTCCCAGCAGTGGCCATTCTTCTGTCCCTGGGAGAGCAGGTCCTCTTC